CTATTTAAATTTTCAGTGCATTTAGGGATTCCCTTATGTGCAAAAGATGCAATGCTGCTTTCTTTGTCAAAACAAAGTACATATCTAAGAAGTTGCCTCTCATTTGGAACTGCCTTTGAACTGGAAGTGTGCCTGTGCTCACTAAGTTTTGGAACAGAGCTAATAATTCACAGTTTCACTGGCACTAAAAACTGTTTTTCTAATAATTTCACTCTTGAAAGTTTCGTTGAGACAAGAAACAGGCCTGCTGGGTAAACCATTATTGCTATATCCAGCCTAGGATTTCCTAGTAAATTATTATTACTTTCCTGCTTTTTATTTTTTATTTTTTATTTTTTTTTAATCTACAGACAGGGTAATATTTTCTCCTGCAGCAAATGTTCGAGCACAGACCAGACCCTTGTTAAACTTTTCAGTTTGTGATAATGCATAGGCCATCTATAAATAGATAGGGTCAGGACGAACTGAACTGCATGATGGATTGTTCTGCGCCCAACGCCCTGCAGCAGTGTGGAGTTGTGTTCTTATTAGTGGGTAAACAGATGGGAGGATGACTAAGGTGAGCTGATGTTTGAGATGCTGCTGGCAACTGCAGGCCAACAGCTTGTCCTCTACTATTGGAGTTCATGCATGGTGATGTGGCTATACATTTGCTTGGTTATAAACTTACTGTATGTACATACCTAAAAAAAACAAAGAACATAAAAATAAAAAAAACTCCAAACTTTTGAATTGTAGTAGCTACATCATTCAGTTTTGCACACCTAATAAGTTGCATAAGCTAATGTGGAACTAAAATAAAGGCCTTGATTTTATTCCTTCTCATAGGCTATTATAATGCAGTTTCTGACCCCGGTTGCACTTAATCTTAACCCTTCTGAAAGTAAAGGGCAAAAATGATCACGTATCAGCAGTTAGTATTAACTTCTGTCCTATTTTAGAAAGCCACTGTTGTTTCCCATTCTAGCCTCCGCAGTTTCTTATTAGATCCGACACAGCACTGTGGCAAGGTCTCGGAGGTGAAATAATTTCCTGAGAGCAATTACAGGCACCAGGAATTCCCATGATTGCCATTATATTAAAAGGTATGGCTATAAAAGTGAATTATAATTGAACGATCACCATTTATCTGAATAAGGCTCCATCTTTCCTTGCATCACAAGGGGGAATGCTGACCGTTTAAGCTACCAGTTTAAATCACGTCCATTGTACATTCATAAAGCAACCTCAGGCTTTTTGTGTGTTTGTCCACAATAATGAAGTATATTATTGTGAGTCGAGGTTTAAAGGAGATCATAAAGGAGTAGTTCACTTTTTAAATTTTTTTTTGCTGATAATTTACCCCCATGTCATCCAAGATGTCCATCATTCTTTCTTCAGTCGGAAAGAAATTAAGGTTTTTGATGAAACATTCTACGATTTTTTTTCCATATAATGGACTTCAATGGGAACCAACCGGTTCAAGGTCCAAATGAGAGTTTCAGTGCAGCTTCAAAGGGCTTTAAACGACACCAGGCGATGAATAAGGGTCTTATCAAGCGAAACAATCGGTCATTTAAAAAATGAATAAAGTTTTATAAGCACAAATGCTCGCCTTGGTCTGTTCTGTGATGAGCGTTCGTGACTCTCCTGTTCAAACTCGTTTATCAAAATGAACAAATCTTTTTTCGAATCATGACTCAAAGGGCCCTAAAGACCCATATTCATTGTCTGGTGTTGTTTAAAGCCGCACTGAAACTCTCATTTGGACTTTGATTCGTTTGGTTCCCATTGAAGTCCATTACTTTAAAAGTGACATATTTAGGAACAGATCATTTCTTCCATATTGTGACGCAAATCCAAATGAAATGGATTATCAGAAATGAAAAATGTAGGGCGGAGACTTAGTTCAATACATCGGTTCGGTTGTTGATTGTTTGGAGGTAGATCTGTATGCGAATATGTAGTTGATTGTAAAAAGGGGCGGGGTTTAACGAGGGATGTCATAGCTGGGAATGACGTCACCTGAGTTGGCTAAGATGGATACATCTGTACACTTTACGCATATCCTACGCGTAAAAAATGAAGTAAACTTTGAGCTTCACTGCTTTCGATCCCATTAAAAGACAATAAAAGCCACTTCGAGGTGGGATGTTCTTGGCCTCTTTTTGCATACATCATCAATTTAACATAAATCCTTTAGGCTGGATTAACATATTAAGCACCTCCCTTTGGGGTAGGGTCTCTTAAATGGAGATTGTCTAAAATCCACATGGTTATAGTGATTAACACTCACGAATCCTCAGACAAAGGTCTATAACAAGGGTTTGTGTTTGTGATATTCAGACGTTCAACTGACTTGTTTCTCTCCATGGATTTTTTTAATATCTACCCTGTCACAGATGGTTTTGATCAAGCACATGTTATGTCACCTGCTGCTAAAGTGGAACAAATAGATTGCATTTAACATTGACATTTATATTGTTTGCTCTTGGGCTGGAATTCACAACGAGTGATTGCTGCCCGCTCAGCTTTATCTTTACCACATTCGCTCAGCGTTGATGATAACAAGGCTCACCTCCAGTAAGTGTTGTAGAAAACTGTATTTGCTCAATGGTTTTTCTTTTCTTTTTCACACTATTAGTGCAGGAATCCAAGACTAAAATACAAACTGCAGAGATGTTTGGTTGTTGTTTGAGAGATTTGTACTTGTAAGAGTGTCGTTTTTAGCATTTTCCAAAATACAGACACTATTGTATGGTTCCAGAACTAAAGGGGAGGGGGATACGTTGGTTTTACAATCTAATGATGCCTGCAAGAAAAAAAAAAGATGGATATTGTAAGCGAGCATTTGGAACTTGGCTGTGTTTGATTGCTGGGATTCCAGTTGGTACACTGCTATTTCAGCTACACATATCTTCTACTGTGTCTTTGCAGTGTGTGACCCGAGCTTGGGCCAAGTGTTGTTTGTAATGTATGAAACGGTTTTACAAAACCCCAGGCTTTCAATGCATGTCTAGGTATAAAGGTGAACATCAGTGAGATTTTGAAAGTAACATAAAATGTATAGCGTTGTTTTATACGTATATGTGCTTTATATAACTATACAGTTTAAAGGTCCCCTGACATGAGGTTATTATTTTTTTTTTAATAATGTTGCCCTTATAGTGTTAGTACGTTTTTTTAGATTAAAAATAGTCATAATTTAGTAATAAAAGGCATTTTTCCTAGCCTGATTTTAGCCTCTGATTTGAACGCTCTGTTTGAAGGGGCGTGTCTGCTGTGGGATTCAGTGTAACCGCCCACTGCTGTGATTGGCTGACATGCTTGCTTATGAAATAGCTACATATTACATGTGAAACTCTCTTGAACTTGCGCTGTGTGGAAAGATTGTTTTTTGATCGCAAAGCAGAGAAAGGGGAGGTAACCTTTCCTCGTTATGACGTAATAACGAGGCGATACAAGATTAAAAAAACTCAGAAAGTGAAAATTTCAAGTCAGGGGACTTTTTTTGGCTTTTTTTTTTTTAGGAAATAAGAGCCATCTGAGTTTCAAGCTAGAACTAGGTATTTATTTTCAAAATGCAATTTGATAGTTTTTGTGAATAGTTCATCAGTTTTTGATTCCAAAGAAAATATATGGATCTAAATTTTAATCTAATAATATTTCTAAATGTGTTGTGTTGGTTTGTATTTTCTTTAGTGACACTGGTGGATGTTACTGAACATATGATATGTTTAAACTTATTAGAAAATGTACAAAGCCAAAATGGTGAAAATGGTATAAAAGAGAAAGCATTAGTGCAAAATTTCTTTTTGAACCAATGTTTTTTTTTCTTCTTTTTTTCCTGTAGTGTGAGGCTTTGATGTGTTATTTGTTCATCAGTCAGCCTGTATGAAAGGTATAATCAAGATAATTACTGATTACAGAATTCATCCTTTGTTCACTGTCTCTCGTGTCACGTTAGGACAATGACAATCTCTCTGCCCACACTAGGAGATATGCTTGATTTAAGACTACTTCATCTACTAACAACTATTACTTGAGACGCAGATGGCTTGAATTGAATGGACTCCTCCATAATAATTATCCTAAAACTTGACTGATTTATAAAGACACTAATACAAAGACAGAAACTACTACAATCTTATCACAGTAGAGAGATGCAAATTTCCAGGTGTATTACCAACGGTACCTCGCTGTATGTCCAAAAATTCTACTAGGATAAGATATTTTGAAGAATGTTGATAGCCAAACAGTTTCTGTTCCCATTGACTTCCATTTTATAGACTGAAAATAATGGAAGTCACAGGGGAACTGAAACGGTTTGGTTACCAACATTCTTTTAAAAAAAATAAAAAATTATGCTCCACAGAAGAAAGTCATACAAGTTTGGAATGACGAGTGAGTAATTGATATTTGTTGGGTGGACTATTCCTTTAATGGTAAATGTTAAGCAGGCATTTTATTAATTAACGTGACTGACCAATCAGAATCCGGCATTTAAGACAGCAGTATATAAATGATCTCATTGGCTTTCCAGTGCGTGTGACTGGCAGGTGACAGCTGTCACCGTGTCCTTCCGTGACTACAACAGCACTATGTGTGTGTCCGATATCACGTTCACTTCTTCTGCGTGAAATAGACCTGTCCACTGTGCCTGCTAATGATACTCAGTGTGAAACAGTGATTGGATGTCAACATGATTGATGTGGGTGTGGAGAGGGAGGGTCCAGCGCTCTCTTGGGCCATTATCTCTTCAAATTATATCAAGGCTGTCTCGTTGGGGGTCCTTTTTGGTGATGCTCAATCGCCGTGATCACCGAGGGCATTTCTGGAACTGAAATTAGAGGACAAATCTCTGCCTAAGGACATAGTATGTTCCGTGAGATAGATATGAATAATTTCGAAAGATCTCACAAGCTCACTTTTTGCTACATTTCACAAAACGGATCATTTGAATTTCATGTTTAGCTTAAATTGTTAATCATGTCTAACTGTAAGTATTTGTATCTCCGCAGTCTATCCGGGAGGTGACGGGTTACGTGTTGGTGGCTCTGAACCAGTTTGACTATCTTCCTCTGGAGAACCTGAGGATCATCCGCGGCACTAAACTGTATGAAGGACGCTACGCTCTGGCCATCTTTCTCAACTACAGACGAGATGGATACTTCGGCCTTAAACAACTCGGCCTCAAGAACCTGACAGGTATATCTGTCTGTCTATGGTCTTCGTTGCTGTGCGGTAGACATAAACATGAACGAGCATATGGGTCCACATCAGATTTCTAAAAGAATGGATCATCCTTTTCCCCCTTTTTTACTAAAATAAATCGATCAGCTAATCACATTATGTTTTCATTTAAAAATGTTATGTGCATTAGCATCTTAAACTCTTAAATCAGCTGTCCCTCCTGTCTTCCCGTAGCACTGTCTCAGGCATCTTACAGTACATTATGGACATTGTAGTTTATTGCGCCGGCCACATCTGCAGTCCTCATGCAGTAGGACTATGCCATGTTCTCTTTAAAGCGATACTTCACCTCTGGAAAGATGAATATGTATTTAAAATGGGTCATTTATGTAGAAAAAAATGTGAAATTATTTATGAATTTGGAGCTTTCTGGACTGAGAAAAGCCAGAAAATGTATTTTTGGCTGAATGGATGAAAGACAACAACTCCCAGAATGCACTTGCTTCGCTGCCCTAGGAGGCCACGCCTACCGTTAACAGAGTGCAGTTTTTAACAACAAGTCTAGGCTACTAGCAAGTTTCCGTGATGAATCTGCCCGAAAATGTGTTTCGATATCGCCCAAAATGTCCGGGATTCGGCTTTTGCGTTCTACAGTCGCCATTCATTAAGTTTACTGTGGCGAGCGGGACGAGTGAGGGCCGCGGGAGATCGGCGAGAGGCCGGTGGCGTGATTACCGATGAGCGACACCTGTGAGACGCACCGGTCTCGTATCTCTCACGGAGGAGCGGGAATTTTCTTAGTAATGTTAAAATGCACATCAATGTAAGCACTACATTTCCATTCATGTAAACATTCACCAATCAGAATCAATTCAGTTAGATTGAAACAAAAGCTGTGCATGTAAACAATGAATGTCCGGACATGTCCGGACATGTCGACGGCTGGACATGTCCGGGAAAAAGAGGATGTTAACACCTACTACTCAGCTTTCTCCACAAAACAAGAGCCTGCTAGCTTAGCTTCCAAAAAAAGATGGCTGACACTATGTGTTCATTCTGAGTGAGATCCCATCCTCTATGGGCGGGTGGAGAAAATGCGGGACAGACCCTACTACTGACTGTAGTCTTTAGCCTCTGGCCAAAAAAAATCCTCCGATGATGCAAAATGACGATTTTTCAGTCGTCGGGGGATTTTTTCCAGACAAAAAATACATAAATCTCTCGTCTCAGGGGGATATGAGGGTGGAAAGCATGGTAATTCGAAAATACTACAGGTTTACTACTAATAAAGCTTAATGCTAAATCCTGAAGTAAGGTCTGTTTTATGTCCTTAGTTATTGGAACTGTGACGTTAATCCCCTACCGGTATAAGCTGTTAGCCTGTTAGCATCTGAGGGATAGTTCACCCAAAAATGAAAATTTTGTCATCATTTACCCTCAAGTTAACCTGTATGAATTTCTTTCTTCTTCTGAACACAAAAGAGGATATTTTGAAGAAGTCAGTGGGGTGAGTAATAGGTGGGGGTGGGTAAATGATGACAGTATTTTCATTTTGGGGTGAACTATCCCTTTAAGGACTGTTCCATGGGTGCATTAAGAAATAACTTTGTTGCCGCTGTTTTCCCCTCTTTACTGAATAATGACAATTTAATCACATGAGCTGTGATTATCTCTGGCATTAAATCTACATTAATTAACAAATAAGGTTGTTCATCATATTTTAGAGTGGATCTACAAGGTTTTACTTGAGAGTTAACAGAAACATATTTTGTTGAAGAAGCTACAGTACACAACTCTTTGACAGGACGTGTATGTTTTGATGGTTGAGCTGCCTATCTGCTGTGTGTCAGAATGTTGCTAGGCAAAAAAATAAAATAAAAATGTAACTCCCTCCCCTACACACACACACACACACCAGTGTTCTAAGTATGTTTTCCCATGCCTAAGGCCCTTTTGTTGACCCAAAGGGGTAAAGGATGAGATCAAATGGAGAGAGAAAGCCATCGGTATGCCGATCAGACACAACCTCTCTGCCATAATTAATTTTTTATAGACTATACATTTGAGGTTTAGTTACTTTGTTAAAGTTGGATTTATTATAGTCATTATGATCTTCCAATAATTACATCAACTTGTTAGTAACATTAACAAACATTAAATATATATATTCAGATAGAAATGCCATAAAACTTAGATTTTACTTTTTTTTTTCATAAATTACCGATACTGTATATAACATAATTTAATGTCCCTGAATGACTCATAACGTTCTAAAATAATACTATCATTGTGTTGCAAAGTGCTATGGTTGGGTCCCTGTGTATAATACATGGTTGCAACTACCTTCTAAAATATTTTTTTTTTCTTAGAATTATTCCATTACTCCAATCCTGCAGTGTTCCTGGTAAAGAGATAAAAGTATGCATCTTCGTTTCTGAGAGACAGCACACTGATGCTTAATGGATCCTTTTATATAAAATATAGTTCATCGTCTTTTCCCTGTTCTTATTATCCTTTACTGATGGCATGTAGCTTTCATACTATATATGTGGTCACTTCAGCACAAATATAACTTTTCTTTCACTCTATCAAAGTAAATAATGCAAGCAAACCTTAAAGGTGCAGATATTATTTATATATAAAAAAAAAAAATTACAAATATTCTGCTCATAATATTCTAAAAAGACCCTGACAATGTTAACGGACAAGAGAATCGTGCTAAACAGATTTCAAGCATGGATTTCAGAGGACGTTTCAGAGTGTCAGTTTTTGTAGTTTTCTTACAGATACAATTCTATCCACCATTTAATCATATTAGCATCCTAGCAGAGGCAAAGAGACAACAGATTGTCCTGACAAAATAGAAATGGTCATGTCTTTCAAGAGAAGCTTTTGTGCATATCACCAGCATTGCACTCTGTCTGTCTGCTGTTCTTCGTAAAATGTGCATCATACAGATTATAATCTTCAGGAAATTATAATAAATAAATAAAATACCTCCCCTTGGAGTGGACTTTGAGCTTTGCAACCTTGTAGATCGTTTTTATGCTCAAACTAACTGAAGTTGAAAAGTTGAAACTAGCGGGTCTTTGCGAAGGGTCAATTGCTAGCTCTCAATCTTTTTTCACTTGAAGGCACTTAACATATATACCCAGATATAAGATATTTCCTACAGTATTTTGCAGTATTATTCAAATTAATTGTACAAACAATATATTCATTTAAAATATTATAAGTGAATCTGCAGCCCCCTTGGATGTAATGGGTCCCGGGCCCCTGGTTGTGAACAATTGTGCTTGCTAGGGTGTTCAAAATGTTTTTTTCTTGGTGTAAAATCCCCCAACATACTCTTAGCCATCAGTAAGGCTCATGTTTTCAGGTTTCATCCGTCCACCAGGTAATGCTGGCTGGCTCATATTCCCCTTAGTTCAAGGTGGAGGTCGTTCTAGTCTTATTTACCCCACAGTAATGTTAGTGTTTTTCTTTTTTTTCTTTTTTCCTTCTTGTGTTGTCATTGTGTATTTCCAGTGCTACATAATGATTGCTTTTGAGGGATAATATTCTTTATATAAACACAACCTTTCCACACATATTAGGCAATCTGGCATCACAGAGAAAATATTTTAATATTGATATTGTGGCGTAACCCTGATGGCATATCAGTGGCACAAGACCAAATTCTATGTACGGTATACTTGACTGTTCCTATAAACATATGCACATGAAGTATTACAAATATCTTGCTTTACGGTCCTTCAGATTGTCCAGGCACCCAGAACAGGCAAACATGAATTTAAAAAATCTTAATTTGGAGATTGACAGATATTTGCACCACATAGATAATTTTACTTCAATCTTTTTACTGTCTTTGGAGGGATAGAGCTGGTAAGCCAGACTATGACGATGGCTAAAGTGGCCACAAAATAGATTGCCAGTCCACACATTGTTTTGAATATAAAGGTAAATCATCTTGTAATCTGAAAAAGGCTGTTATTTACAGATTCCTCCATTTTGGCCAATGATGTTAAAGATATAATGGCATTGTTTTTGACCTCTTTAATGCATTTTAATGGAATATTGCATTATTTATTAGAAATGATTTATTTGTGCACATCATTTTTTTATTCATGTGCCCCCATAATCTTTAATCAAAATAACTTCCCTTCCCTGCCCTTCCCTGCCCTTTCCTTCCCTTTCCTGCCCTTTCCGTGCCCTTCCCTGCCCTGCCCTGCCCTTCCCTGCCCTTCCTTTCCCTTCCCTGCCCTGCCCTTCCCCTGAGCCTGATGGCATGTTTACTCGCGTGAGGGCGAGACAACTTGTCACTCATAAAAAATCGTCCAATTGCAAACTCCAACCAGCCAATCAAATCCCGACCGACAAAATCAATTCCTGCCACACATTTTATTCTGGTTTGAGAAGCTGTTTAACTTGGATATATCACAAAAAGACAATCACAATGTCTGTTTTCAACATTAACAGTAGCTTATTGTCATCATTGAAAATATGTCGTTTGAAACCTCTATTACATTTCATGTTATGAATAAATATAAAGGAATATGAAGACAAAATAGAAGATTTATTGACATCCTGATTTAAAAGCCGGTTTACACTATTTCGATGGTCCGGACATTTTACTAACTGTAAGTAACTTTGCAACTACATGTCAACCATCAGTAGAGTATTAGTAGATTGTCTACTTAAGTGTTGAGCAAGTTTCATATAAAGGTGTTGTATAATTTAATTACAAAATACAAGTTTTTATTATGTTCATTATTATTACATAGTATGTAGTATCTTTACATTTTTACAATAATTGTACAATATATTGGTGTAATCATGCTTATATTAATGTCACACACAATATTAAATAATAAAATAAAAAAACCAACTCTTGCTGACCGAGCTATTCTGGGAATTTAGAACTCATGTGTGAAAAGGCTAAAATGAAATGAAGAGAGCAGAGCTAATACCATCTCACCGGTCTGTTGCTCAAAAGGCTGAGAGAGGAACAGCTCCATTAATAATGGATCCAGTATCATCATTATGCAGCAAAATGTTTAAACTACACAGAATCTCAGAGCTTCAAACACAACTTTTTAAAAACATTCCCTCATGAATCTGAGCTAATGTCAGCAAATCTTAAACCGAAGTTATCAGTAAAGTGAAAGTTTGAGGGAATGGGTCATTTATTTACTTTAAAAAAATACTAGTAAATATTCACAAAATAATTACAAAATAGATAATATCTGCAGTTGTTTTAAAGGAACACTCCACCGTTTTTTGAAATATGGCTTTTTCTCATTCTTTCCTACATTTAGATATGTGTGCAAATGCATTTTTGTCTCAGTGCATGCATTGTTTTAGTTTGACAGGGTCGGCGCTAGCTTAGCTTAGCACAATGAATGGAATCCTTTGTTGCCAGCTAGCATGTCCTGAGTAAAAGTGATAAAAAAAAAAAACCACGTAATTACTTCTTGTGGCCTGCGTATTCACAACGAGTACAAATAGCGACGCAGATTAACACTAGGCGGTTTCCTAGGCAGATATTGACTTGGGACTATATTAGGGGGAAGCACAGGCGAAGCACCGCTGCTAAGGGTAATCACTGCTACTTGGGCGCAGAGACGTCACGCAACACATGAAATCCCACGACCTCCATAAACATACCGGTGTTCAGCGCGTCAAAAAAAAAAACAGAAGAAGAACATCACATTTGTGACTCTCTGTCAAAAAAGATTTGTTCATTTTGATGAACGAGTTCGCAGTACAGAGCAAGGTGAGCATTTGAGCTTATAAAACTTAAACTTTGTTATTTATTTATTAAATGAGCGATCGTTTCGCTTGATAAGACCCTTATTCATCGTCTGGAATCGTTTAAAGCCCTTTGAACAGTTTGTAGTTTGCACTGAAACTGTCTTTTAGACCTTGAACCATTTGGTTCCCATTGAAGTGCATTATATGGAGAAAAATGCTGGAATGTTTTCATCAAAAACCTTAATTTCTTTTTGACTGAAGAAAGAATGACATGGATATCTTGCATGACATGGGGGTGAGTAAATTATCAGCAAAAGTTTATTGAAAAGTGAACTACTCCTTTAAATTGCATTGAAGGTATACATTTGTTTAGAGACCCTGCTGTTAGGTGTGATTTCTGGGACGCTCCGCTATCTCCACAAGCCAAACTCCCCTCCCTGTGAGGCTGAATAATGAGACGCTTCGTGAATGTGGACGTGTGGAGAGTGTGTGTGTGACAGAGGGCTGTGGATCATGATCTGAAGCCTCAGTAGAGGATATTAAGGGTCGTTCACAGTAGCGACAAACTGAACAGAAGTTCTTCGCTTTCAAAGACAGTTGTGATCGCTGCGGGAGCACATGCTGTGCGAAGTGGAGAATGTTTATTGTGTATTATTTGAGTGTATCATTTGGGTAGGAGTTAATAGTACTGTGAGATTGCACTGTTTGTTTTTTGGAAAATGGTGTCAGAAATTTGCTGTCATTCTAACTGAATTGGATTCATGCATCAATAATTGTTCTTGTTCATGAAATGTTGTAGTTTCAGCATGAAAATGTTTTCCTTATCAAAGTATGACAGAATATTGTTTGGATTACTCAATGAATAAAATTGCTGTCATGTGAACAATGAAAAAGTTCCTCCTGGAAAAAGTCTACTTCAGACTTGTTCCTTTCAGAGTAAGAACCAAAACCTACACTCTAAAAATGCTGGGTTGTTTTAACCCAACTTTGGGTCAAATATTGACAAACCCAGCCATTGGGTTAAAAATGTAATTAAAAATGTAACCCAATGGCTGGGTTTGTCCATATTTGACTCAAAGTTGGGTTAAACAACCCAGCATTTTTTAGAGTGTATATATTCCTCACAACAAAATCCATTTCCGTATTTTACATGTTTTTGGTCATAGGCAGACAGCGACTGACTAAAAACTTCAGGTTTGTTTTAAATATTATATTTCACATCTAAAGTAAACAACAATGATCATATTGATGCTTTGCTTTTTTTAAGCTCCCATCATACATTTTTTAAAGGTTATTGTGAATGAATAACAATATATATATATATATATAAAAAATGAAGGTTTTCGGTGAATGCCTGTTCTTAACTGATTGCCTGGTTTATTTTCTTCATATGTGCACTGGTGACCTGTCCTTTAGGTTTTCCAGTCTCATTTGCATCTCCCTGATTATAATCTGCCATTTGGAGACGATTTGTCCATGTAAAAATGGACACTGACAGAATGAAATGAGAATCATTTTTCAAATGTTAGTGGTTTTGACACTGTTTTAATTTGGCTTTAATATTAAATTCCAGTTCTTCTAGGTATGCAAAATGATTGCATTTTGTGTCAGATCTAAGAAAATAAATAAATAATCAAGATGATGTGCATTTTTTTTAATCACTTAAAATGCATCGTAATAGTCTGACAAGAATAGCTCTCCAATTTGTGTTAATTTGAGTGAATGAACAATATTTTCTCACTTGTCTTCTGTCTTGTAAAAAACATGAATTGGTTATGGCACAGCTGCACATTCATTTAAACGTGAAATTGAATTTATGCTTCTACTTTAATTTCTGATTTAGTTTGTTTGCCTCGAAACACACCGTAATATGCACATCTATTCTATTCTATTCTACCCTGCTATATAATTCTTGTTTATGATTATTGTTAATGAGTTATTGTTATGCTTGTTTTTTGTGTTAAGGGTTTTTTAGCTTAGGCCTGCTGTATATATTTATTCTTGTATATATTTGTCTACGATTTTCATTTTATAAAGAAATATTGCACTGTGCTCAGCTTTGACCCACAGTTAATTGTGCTTTTGAATCGTTTGAGTCATGTTTACAGATGGAGGCAGACAGTTAACGTTAATAGGGGTGCCATAATGTCGCTCAATTTCTCGGGCCGATAAGGACCGCAAGTGCGATGAGTTCTTGTCCTTCAGATGACTTTATAATATATTTTGATTAGCTCAACTTTTCCCTCCTTTTAATTTTTCTTCAAAAGCACTATCATTTGAAATTGATAGCATTCTCATTAAAATTACAATTGTTGAATGTATTCCTGGTTTTTCGCCACCTTCTTTGCGAACTGTGTGCAGATGAACTCATCAAAGAGATGTTAATGATGCAAAGTGTTTCTCATGCGGGTTGGGTTTCCAGCTGTGTGAATGTCAAAAGTGACTCTTTAAAAATGAATCCGTATGGTCTGTTGTTCCATTCACAGTCTCAACCTTTCCCCCTGCACACTCCACTTACATCATCATGGAATTGCTGAAAGGAATTTTCAATATTTCACTTTCACTCAAAGGAAGTGAATGTGTCATGTTTATTTTGAATGCAGGGATGAGACCTGGTGATCTCACAATGCTGGTCGACTCGGCGGGTTTATATGAGATATTGACACTGTCAAAATGTGTATAAATTCAACCTTAAGCTTGTTAATGGGGTCAGTACCATAACTTAGGGACTTCTACCCTTAAAACATGCATATTGACATGACATGTCATTCCTATACACTGTAAAAAAATATTTTCAAGATTTGTTATCACAACATATTTTCTTTTTTCAAATCAACTTTATAATAATTTATTTAGTTGAGATAACTTATTATTTTGAGTTTCTGATGATTAAATTAATCTCCTTCATTGCATTAACTCACTTTTTCCAGTTCAATCAACTTAAAATTTTAAGGCAACCCATGTTACTTACTTTTTTAAGTTAAACCAACAATATTTTTTACAGTGTAGTAATCACAACATTTTTTTTTGTCGAATCAACTTAAATAATTTATTTAGTTCAGATAACATATAATTTTGAGTTTCTGATGATTAAATCATTCTCCTTCATTGTATTAACTCACTTTTTCCAGTTCAATGAACTTAAAATTTTAAGGCAATCACGTTACTTACTTTTTTAAGTTAAACCAATTATTTATTTATTTTTAACAGTGTTGTGCTGTTATAAAATATAAATGCAGGCATATTCACAAATATTTACAAATAACATTTTGTGTATTTATTGAAAACGAAATCTGCTAAATTTATACTAGTACTCAGATCCATTTTAATACATTTTACCCATTTTGTGTGGACTTAGCAATTAAAAACAAGAAACAGTGGGGACTGGAAGATATTTGCTGAAGCTTTACTGGTGAGATCTAATCAGTTGTGTTGGTTCAGTATACAAACCCTGTGCAGATCTGAAGCGTTCTAACAGAACTGTCCAGTTATGTAAATTATAAAGTTACATTAATTGATTATGAAGCGGTAGCCAGTGTCGGAATTATAATATTGCTTCATTAACTTCCTATTTGTTTTCCTCTGAGAGCGAATTCAACAGGACTAACCCATTTTAAACAGCTAGCCATGGTCTCATTCATCAGGAGGTTGTTGGAGGCTATGAACCATCATACATTTGTGATAAAAATGGATTTTTTTTAAAGCAGGCTTACCAATACACACAATGACTGATTTCTTGGTAACTGAGGCTATTCATTAAACCCAGTAATATTTTTTTACAGGGGAACAAGAGGGAGGGATTTGAAAGGGTGTATCAGCTCAAATATACTACCTCCACATAAAGCATATGTTCCCAATCTCTACAGACACATTGATATGCTCATAATCTTGCTTGATCTTTTATAAGCTCCTTAACTTGGGAATTGGGGTGATTTCGTTCTTAAATCCTGTTCTAAAAAAGAGATTATTTTCATTACACTGCTTTTATAAATGGTTTTATAGAGAAGTCGGGGTCATATCCTTAGGATGTCCTTGAAATGAACTGTACATCTTTGATATGCACATAAAGTGTTTATTTAACATTATTAAGGCTGTGAAATGGGCTAAATGGCACATCATGTTATTCACAAGTGAGCATGATTCCTAATTCACCCTCTTTGAATTTTCACTGTTGTAGAAATCCTGAATGGAGGCGTGTATGTGGATCAGAACAAGTTCTTGTGTCATGCTGACACCATCCACTGGCAAGACATCATCAAGAACCCACGTTCTGAACTTCTGGTTGTGCCCTCAAACAACAGTGGAAACACATGTGAGTGTTTGGATGAGTTTAATGATTTAAAATGGACTGAAATAATTTATCATTTTCATGGATTTACTCAAATTGCATTCATAAGCTAAATTTAAAGCTGTAACAAACAAGAAGTTAGTTAAAATGTTTTATCCCCGGTGTCACAGACACTGCTAAGTTCTTGACTAAAATGCATGTTTGTATATATTAACTGACAGCACTGACATTAAAACATGGTTTGTCTCAAGATCCACACCAGTAATATTTTGTTTTTTTCTAAGACACATTTATAACAGGCCTTCAATATTTACAGCAATAATGAAATATTGGTGAAAGTTTGAATTTACAGTGAAATGCCTTAAAATGTCATGAAACTTTTAAATAATGCATACATTTATTTATTATACCCAAAAGTTTGAGGATGGAAAAAAAAGTCTCTTATCAAAAATAGAGTAAAAACACTACAGTTATTTATATATATATATATAATAATTTAAAATAACTGTTTTCTATTTCAATATATTTGTCAAATGTAATTTATTCCTGTGACGCAAAGCTGAATTTTCAGCATGATGAAAATGATCCTTCAGAAATCATTCTGATATGCTGATTTGCTGCTCAAGAAACATTTCTTATTATTAATATTAATTAATATGAAACCAGTTTTTTTTTTTTTTTGCTTAATATTTTTGTGGCAACCGTGATGCATTTTTTTCTGGATTCTTCGATGAATAAAAGTTCAAAATAACTATTTATTTTAAATCTTTTTGTAGCATTATAAATATAAATATCTTTACTGTCACATTTGATGCATTTTAATGAGACCTTGCTGGATAAAAGTATAATTTCTTTAAACAAAATCGTACTGTCCCCAGAACTTTGAACTGTGATATATTAAACACATTTATTATATTTATTCATATTTAGTAAATGTTTCATGAATTTTCGCTATCAATTTTTCACATACATTGATATATATATATATGAAGAGTTCAGATGCAAAAGCCTCTAAGTGCCATTTGAAATTTTCTTCTAAAATGATCATTTTTATCAAGCTTGTATATTTAAGCTCAGTAATTTCACTTAAATGGCAATGAAGATTACCTATTAATTGTCATTTAAGTGAAATTACTGAACTTAAATATACAAGCTTGATAAAAATGGTCATTTTAGAACAAAATTTCAAATGGCATTTAGAGGCTTTTGCATCTGAACTCTTCATATATATATATATATACATACATATATATATATATATATATATATATATATATATATATATATATATATATATATATATATATATATATATACATATATATATATACACAAACTTTTATTTTGGATGCGATTAATCGGGATTAATAATTTGACAGCCCTAATATATATATATATACACATTAGGGCTGTCAAATTATTAATCCCGATTAATCGCATCCAAAATAAAAGTTTGTGTTTACATAATATATGTGGGTGCACTGTGTATAATTATTTTATATATATAAATACACACACACACATGTTTGTATATATTTAAGAAATATTTCATGTATATACTGTATATATATATATATATATATTTTTTTTTTTCTTAAATATACATGCATGTGTGTATTTATATATATATATATATATATATATATATATACTAAAATAATTATACACAGTGCACCCACATATATTATGTAAACACAAACTTTTATTTTTGATGCGATTAATCGTGATTAATCGTTTGACAGCCCTAATATATATTATATATATTATTAATAATATATATATTATTTTATTTTTTATTTATTTGTATTTTTATGCAATCCCTGGAAAATAGCAGAATTTCTTTAGTATAATCGCTTTTAATTGAACTAATATTGTTACTCAGAGTCCCACTCAAGCAAACTCTCTTGGTAATTATAAAACAGTCAATTAAATCTAGTCGGTGATAAAAGTAAGTGAGGACATTGTATGAGACAAATCCCAGAGCAATTAGAGTAGTGTTGTTGTTGTTTAGGATTAACGATACGATGTATCCCACAGGCAGAAGGTGCCATCGCTCCTGTAACGGCCGCTGCTGGGGCCCTCAGGAGGATCAGTGCCAAAGCTGTGAGTATTTAACAAGTGCTTTATCAATTAACTTGCACAACAACACATGCACACACACATAAATTTCAATATATTAAGGCCGGTGTGATGTGACCTTTGACCCTTTTGCAGTATTATATTATTGATTTCATAGCAGTGTGTCTATCAGAAATTACAGACATTTAATGTATTCGGATAGGGCAACAAATCTGTACAAATTAATAAATTAGTTTTAGTATATAAGATTAAAGTTACAAGATTATGGATCATATTAAAGTGCCCATATCAGCTAATTTACAATTTCATGATGTTATTAATGTGGTCTGCTAGTATACATGTTCTTGATTTAAACAACATTCCTGCAGCACCTCTTCTCACTCTGCCTGAAATGCTTTGTTTTATTTTCTGTCTCTTTAAAGCCCACCTTTCCGAAAAGCCCAGTTTGCTCTGATTGGTCAGCTGGCCCAATCTGTTGTGATTGGTCTACCACTTAGACCGTGAGTCAGAAATGTACGGTGACCCTAAGGGGACATGCACATTGGAGATTAATCTTTTATAAATTAAGTCTTCACTACCTTTACTTTTCTGGGGCTTGAAAGTGGTAGTTGCGTAGGCTGTCAATGGAGGGACAGAAAGCTCTCAGATTTCATTGAAAAGAAGATGAACAAATGGCTTACGGGTTTGAAACGGCATGAGGGTGATTAATTAATGACAGAATACATTTTTTTTAGGTGAACTAACCCTTTAAGTCACAGAAATATTGGCAGCACTACAAACGAGACGTTTCAGGCAAGTATTTTCTGTTGGAGGGATCCTCTTTCTTTGGCATGGTGCTTTGTAACTTTGACACAAACTATGCACAAACAGCTAAATTATACAATATAGGAAAGGTTAAATAATAAAAATAAATGAATAAAATTATCGATACTAATCATGATTAATCAAAAATAAAAGTTTGTGTTTACATAATATATGCGTGTGTAGTGTGTATAATTATTCTGTGTATATATTTAGATATATATATGCATGTATATATTCAAAAAATGTGTGAAAAATGTGTTACAAATGTGTAATTAATATATCAAATATCCATATTTATGTATAATATAAATTTTGTATAAATATATAAAAAGTATGTTCATGCAAATATTTCTTAAATATATACAAGCATGTGTGTGTATGTATATATGTATATAAAATAATTATACACACTACACACATATATATTATGTAAACACAAACTTTTATTTTGGATGCGATTAATCACGATTAATCGTTTCACAGCCCTAAAAAAAATGTTAGCCTAAGTTGTCAAATTAACATAAAAATCTGGTAACTTCATATAAACTTTAAAATAACTATATATTGGAATATTGCTGAATCAAAGTTTGACACACAAAGACCATTTTCAGAGATTGAAACTGTCAACATGAGTTCTGTCTATAATGTAAAAAGCACCTCGAGTGATTGCTCTTGGGAACTCACTGATCTTCCCTGGTGCTCTTGTGGCACAACCTGTGGTGATGTTCTCATGAGTGGGTGGCAGGCACAGAAGGAGGGACGGCAGGGGATGGCAGGGGACGGCAGGTTCAGTTTTCACTACATAATTATGTATAATTAAAGAGGATCCAGCTCCATAGAGTGTCAGGCGGATGAGGGGTTGCACAGTGTGTCTGACAAATAATAGATTTAAGGTTGTTGCTGTATCCTGGTGACTTTTGACATGTTTACAGAAAAGTAAAAATACAAAAAACTCCACAGACGCTGAGAAAGCTTAACTTTTGTCTTTGTGGTTACAGTGACAAAGACGGTGTGTGCAGAGCAGTGCGATGGACGCTGTTTTGGTCCGTACGTCAGTAACTGCTGCCACCGGGAATGTGCAGGAGGCTGTTACGGACCCAAAGACACAGACTGCTTTGTATGTCAACTCTTCCTTTATTTTTCCCATATTATGCATGATTTTTAAGTGTAATAAAGGTGATGAAGGTAAACTCTAGAAGGCGCAGGCTGGTAGGTCCTTAAAGGGATGCTCCACTTTTTTTGGAAATAGGCTCATTTTACAACTCCCTCAGGGTTAAACATTTGGGTTTACTGTTTTCGAATCCATTCAGCTGATTTTCCTACCCTATCTCATGACCAATTCGTACGAATTCGACGAATGATTAAAAAGTGGCTAATTCAATTTGTATGACCTCACTCTAAACTTTATGGCCAATTCGTAAAATATGTACGATTTAGCAAAATCGCACTAATTCGTACGAGTGAGGTCGTATGAATTCGTACGAATTAGCCCCTATTTAATCATTCGTCGAATTCGTACGACTTGGTCATGAGACCGGGTTGGATTTTCTGATATTTAGAAGAATGTCAGTAACCAGAGAGTTTCTGGTCTCATTGACTTCCATAGTAGGAGAAAATATACTATGGAAGTCAATGGGAGCAGAAACTGTCTGGTTACTGATATTCTTCTAAATATCGGAAAATCAGCTGAATGGATTTGAAAACGGTAAAAACTCAACTGTTTAACTCTCGGGGAGTGGTAAAATGAGCCTATTTCCAAAAAAAAGTGGAGTATCCCTTTAACTCATTTAGTAGTGACCGCGTCGTCATCTACATAGTGCAGCTGATTGGTTGCTTCTGCATCAGCGACCAATGAGCTGCGGCTCAACATTCAAACAAATCCCGATAGTGTTTCTGTTATCAATGTTGAAATATGAAAGCTTCTCTGACATTAACGTTCTGCCAGGGCTTTCTCAAAGATATACACAAACATTCTTCCAGTAATGTTAAAGAGGTCATTGGATGCCATTTTAAAAGTGCATTATTTTGTTTATTGGGTCAATAGAATAGGAAAAACATGCGTAAATAACACTATTTTTCCTCATACTGAACATCATTGCAGTACCTCTTTTCTCAGTCTGTCTGAAACATGCTGATGTCTTACTTCTGAAGCCCCTCCCTCTGAAAAGCTCGGAGTGCTCTGATTGGCCAGCAGACCCAGTGCGTGAGATCAAGCGTGTGTCGGAAGTGTCATAATCGCGAGCTTCAGCTTTATCAGTTTTACCGTATCAGTTTGTGCCCGAGTCAGATTCTGCAACTTTACAAGCACAACTTGAGCAGAACCAGCTGAAGTATATAGCTGGCGTTGTACTCTCCCAGGTTGTGTGCACATGCAAACCTTCGGATTATAAACCTCTGATTCCTAATTTCAGCCATTTTCAGAAGGCCAAGTAAAGAGGTTTTGCTTTCGCATCCAAACACATCCAAAAACACGTTTCCGCGACATGGCGAGATTGGCAACAACACTAAAATTCACTGGAGCCTCGGGAATATTATGCTAATATTTCACATTGTGACGTAGATTTTTTTTTTTGAGGAAGTTACTGAAGTTTCACAGCTTTTTATTATATCCAACGAAGAAGATACATCGAAGAAAAATGACAAACAAAACTGTAGTGACACACTAGATAGCAATACAACAGTGACACCTATTGGCAAATTACTATATTGCAATAGAAGTAATCTGGGCTATACTACAATCGAGGCGTTTCAGGCAGGTCTGGATCTGTGTTCTCTGTTCGATAGAATAAGTCTCTTTGTAGATTGTGTATGCACAAGCCGATACATTACACACTAAAGGAAGAGGAAAACATTAAAAAAAAACATCATATGACCCCTTTAATAGAAAGGTTGTGTAAATGGAACATACAAAACATTCTTAGTTAGAACATATCTTTAGCAGGGGCAGAGGTGTCGCTTCATGTTAGTCTTTTTTTACCAATCGAACACATATTTGCATGATTGTTTTTGTTCTCAGGCTTGTACCAACTTTAACGACAGCGGGGCCTGTGTGACCCAGTGTCCTCAGCCATTCGTCTACAATCCGACAACCTTCCAGCTCGAACACAATCCCAACGCCAAATACACCTATGGAGCTTTCTGTGTCAAGAAATGCCCACGTAGGTTACACTGATTTAATCATACATGGAATAAACAAATAAATCTAAATTGAAATAAAATCAGAGAATCATCCATTTTAAAGCAGCATCTTTCACAAGTAAGCTCTGTTGTTTTTTTTGACATAGATAATTTTGTGGTGGATCACAGCTCATGTGTCAGAGCCTGTCCGAGCAACAAGATGGAGATGGAAGAAAATAACATCAAGATGTGCATCCCGTGCACTGACATCTGTCCAAAAAGTACAATACTTACCATACTTACAAAGAACAGAAAATAACCTCTACGCTTGTTAGGAACATATGATTGTGGGTATGTTGATGTTTGTTTGTTTGTATGTGGTGTTCAGTGTGTGATGGTATAGGTACCGGCAGTCTTCAAACGGCTCAAACCGTAGATTCCAGCAATATTGAGAAGTTTGTCAATTGCACCAAGATCAACGGCAACCTCATCTTCCTCATCACAGGCATCAAAGGGTGAGGAATGGTTAAATCTTCCAGGCTGATGGTTTTAAGTATTCACAGATGACAAATTTTGTGTCTCTCGTTGAACAGTGATGTGTCCTCAAATCATCTGTACACAAAAAAAATCTAAGTAAAACTTTGAGATGGTCCTCACTCCAGAACTTGAAATCCACGGGGAGGAGTCGGATCCAGATCCAACTCCTCCCACTTTACATATACCTAAACCTACCCATCTCCACCCCCTGATCCCTAACCCCACCCCTAATCCTACCCATCTCCACCCCCTGATCCCTAACCCCACCCCTAATCCTACCCATCTCCACCCCCTGATCCCTAACCCCACCCCTAATCCTACCCATCTTCACCCCCCTGATCCCTAATCCCACCCCTAATCCTACCCATATCCACCCCTGATCCCTAACCCCACCCCTAATCCTACCCATCTCCACCCCCTGATCCCTAACCCCACCCCTAATCCTACCCATCTTCACCCCCCTGATCCCTAACCCCACCCCTAATCCTACCCATCTCCACCCCCTGATCCCTAACCCCACCCCTAATCCTACCCATCTCCACCCCCTGATCCCTAACCCCACCCCTAATCCTACCCATCTTCACCCCCCTGATCCCTAATCCCACCCCTAATCCTACCCATATCCACCCCTGATCCCTAACCCCACCCCTAAACCTACCCAGCTCCACCCCATGATCCCTAAACCCTCCCCTAAACCTACCCAGCTCCACCCCATGAACCCTAAATTGACCCCGTAAACCTACCCAACTCCACCCCTCAGATCAATATCTGACTCCGCCCCCTGGATCTTGTGTACTGCAATGAGGTCCTACTGAAAACTTTTCTGTTTTTAGTACATCGTTATAGTGTAAACCTGCCCTCAGTTTCCAAGACATTCTTACTCCATCAAAACCTGTTTGTTGAGCAAAATATCTTCCCTTACAGGGGTTTTCATGATCACATGTCTTCTAATAACCCTTTTTTCGGCAAATTATTTGCCAGGTGATATTTATCTTATGAAATGCAATCTTTTTTATCACATTTTTTTAGTAATAATTATTAAAGGAGTAGTTCACTTTAAAAAAAGCTTTTGCTGATAATTTACTCACCCCCATGTCATCCAAGATGTCCATGTCTTTCTTTCTTCAGTCGAAAAGAAATTAAGGTTTTTTGATGAAAACATTACAGGATTTTTCTCCATATAATGGACTTCAATGGGAACCAAACAGTTCAAGGTCCAAAAGACAGTTTCAGTGCAAACTGCACACTGTTCAAAGGGCTTTAAACGATTCCAGACGATGAATAAGGGTCTTATCAAGCGAAACGATCACTCATAAAAAAAAAAAAAAAAGTTTAAGTTTTATAAACTCAAACTCTATGATGCGCATTCGTGACTCCCCTGTTCGAACTCGTTTATCAAAATGAACTTTTTTCGTGCCATTTGGTTAATTCAACGAACAAAATGAACGAATTGACTCGGGAAAAGATTTGATCATTTTGATGAACGAGTTCGAACAGGAGAGTCACGAACGCTCATCACAGAACAGAGCAAGGCGAGCATTTGAGTTTATAAAACTTAAACTTTTATTTTTTTAAGTGAGCGATCGTTTCTCTTGATAAGACCCTTATTCATCGTCATTGTCTGGAATCATTTAAAGCCCTTTGAACATTTTGCACTGAAACTGTCTTTTGGACCTTCAACCATTTGGTTACCAGTAAAGAGCATTATATGGAGAAAAATCCTGCAATGTTCTCATCAAAAACCTTAATTTCTTTTCGACTGAAGAAAGAATGACATGGACATCTTTGATGACATGGGGGTGAGTAAATTATCAGCAAAAGTTTTTTTTAAAAAGTGAACTACTCCTTTACTGTTTATTTTTTTTTCTTGCTTTTATTTAACTAAACACAATTATATATTATGACTGAATCAACCTTTCTATATTAGTTTTACGCAAACGTAAGTATCTTTAAGGGCAAGATCAAGTAGAACTGTAGTACAGTGTAATTTGTGACAAACACTATTTGCATTCCTTAAACTCATTACATGTTTTGCTTTGTTTAACAGAGACATGTATCATGGTATTGGCGCTCTGGATCCTGAGCGACTAAATGTGTTCCGCACCGTCAGAGAGATCACAGGTAGAGAGAGGGAGAGAGATTGTCATTATTCTTAAGATAATTTGGTGCATTAAAGCATGCAAATGAAAAAAACAAATGTGAACACAAAATCATTTCTTAAGACACTGTCACATTATTCATGGATCCTTATTTTTACAGCTAATAGGATTTGTTGCAGAATTTATTTGCTGAGTCTAATAGCTTAGAAAAAATGCACTGTTAGTCATGTTAGAAAACTTTTACTTCATTAAAATCTGGTGTGTGCACTGACAGATATTATATTGCAGTTAATGGAGTGAAACGTAATGAAACCCGGCACAATAAGAAAGACCTATGACTTGTCGTGAATGCATTTCCCATGCCCGCCATATAAACACACCTCTCATATTGATCATAAGAACATGTGCAACTCTCATGGAAATTACTCCCAATGAAACATGATATTTGTTTAATATCTTGGTGGGATATTACATTTCTATGATTCTTCATTACTTTTGCAAGTAGTAGACTACTTATTCTTTATTTTTTTCTTTGCTTTTTACTGCCACATCTAGTTAACTGTTAATAGGATTCAAATCTTCACTCTTAGAAGAAAATGTTCTATATAGAACCTTAAAAGGTTCTATCAGCGCTACATATTTGGAACCCCTATACACTCTTAAAAAAGGGTTCCTCTGGGTTCTATATAGAACCCTGGGATTCCATACTTGGCCAATAGAAAAAATGTTTTTTACCAAAAAAAATGGTTCTATATAGAACCATTTTGGAGTTCCATATATGAAGTGGGGGTTGGAACCATTTCTGGTTCTAAATAGAACCATTTCTTCTAAGAGTGTTGTTTGTCAATTCCATCCAAAGGTTACTTGAACATCCAGTCTTGGCCAGAAAACATGACTGACCTTGGTGTCTTTTCCAACCTTGTCACCATAGGAGGAAGAACTCTTTATAGGTACAAATCACATCTTATTATTAAGCATTTACCTTATTTGCATTATCATTATTGGTCAACAACATTTTCATACAGTACATCTATCAAATTGTCTGTTAATTGACCACCAAATAAAATTGCAAACAATATGAAAGAGCGATAGGTATGGAGGTTGTTAGTGATCCTCATCTCATGTTTTGTCAGTGGTATTTCTCTGCTGATCCTGAAGCAGCGCTGGATCTCTTCACTGCAGTTCCAGTCTTTGAGAGAGATCAGCGCCGGTAACGTCTACATGACCAACAACAGCCAGCTCTGCTTCTACAATACAGTGAACTGGACCGGTCTGTTCCGCACCAGCACCCAGAGAGCTCTGATCAAGAACAACAGGGACACCAGAGAGTGTAGTGAGTGTTCTACTGCCAAAAGAAAGAGAAAAAAATGGTTTTAATGTTGGGTTAGTAAAACTTGTTTTCTATTTTGTGACAATTCAAAATGTGTCACTATTTGGTAAGACACTACAGATCAACCCGGTCTCATCCCAAGACGTCATATAACTGACGTTTTGGGACGTCTTTCGACCATACGTCAATATTCGCCTTTTTAGGGCCCCCTTAAACGTCGGTAGATGAGGTTATGGGATCCTAACTCCACCCCAGACCTAAACCTAACCCTAAACCTAACCCGTCACCTAACTGACGTTAAAGGTAAAGCGTCAGTTGTATGACGGCCCGGGATCGCCATCTACCGACGTTTAAGGGGGCCCTAAAAAGGCGGATATTGACGTATGGTCAAAAGATGTCCCAAGACGTCAGTTATATGACGTCTTGGGATGAGACTGTGTTGTACAGATAGCCTGATGAGTAATCACATTGAGTACATTAAGAAAATTGCATTCAGGAAATGTTAATGTTTACATATGCAAATTATCTCATTAAATAAATTAATGTATTACCTAATTAAACACTACTTTACAGAAATTTCCAGAACAGAAATTTCAACATTGGTTCACTATTTTTGTTTAGTTTTTGACATATTTTTACAGAGAATAATTGTCAACAGCCCAAAAAATGAAATACACTTTCACCATATTTTTTAGGAATAAAATATGTTTTTTGGGGGGACTTTGAATAAACAATAGCATATTTTATCCCCTTACACTAAACCTACACATCACAGAAAACGTCCTGCATTTTCACATTTTCAAAAAACATCACTTAGTATGATTTATAAGCCGTTTGATTATAAATCATACTAAGACAATTGTTTTACAGGGCAATATCTTATGTGTGATAAGAATTCAGTGAACTGATGAAATGGAGAGGCACAGGCTTATCTGTAATGGAGATGTTGACAGTTGCAGAACACTTCCCACAGTGCCCCTCTGCCAAGCCACGCTTGATGTAATTAGTGTGATAATAAGTGTGTGGTGTGCAGGATCAATCGCGCTGTTAGCTGGCTCATCATTGGCCTCTTTTCCACACTACTGATCACAGTAGTCTGATATCCCTGGATTGTTCAACAGCCCTGATTCATGGATTCGGTAGCCATATCTAACCTCAGAAATATGTATTTTAAAAAATTGAAAATCTAACATGGGTGGTTTTCTTTCTTATGCCAACAATTTTTTTATTGTAAGTTGGGGAGATGTTTAGCCATATATACACCAGAATCTGGATGACATGGTCTAAAAAAAAAAAAAAACTCAATCCATATCATGGGGCCTTTAAAATGTTTATTGTGTAAATGGTGTTTATATATTGGCAGTATACTGTATGAGAGTAAAATAATTTCTTTGAATGTCTTCTGCAGCTCAGCAAAAGATGGTTTGTGATTCGCTGTGTTCAGCGGCAGGATGCTGGGGTCCCGGTCCAGATCAATGTCTTTCTTGTAAATACTTCAGCCGAGGAAGGACGTGTGTAAAATCCTGTAATCTTTATGATGGGTGAGTAAAAGACAAGTTGGACACAGACTTCAGATAATGAAGAAACAATATAATCTGGTCTGTCTAGAATCTACACTTTATTTCAATGGTACACTTTAGGCATTCTACTAACTATAAGAACCTTCACAACTACATGTTAACTAACTCTCATTAGTGTTTTAGTAGGCTGTTAGTAGACCGTTTGGTTTGGGTTGGTGGAATAAGTTGACATAGTTGACAAATTTAAAAAGTTAGTAGAATATTAGTAGAATGTACTTCTCTAAATCTCTGTCGGGGGACTATCAAAATATCAAAACCACAAATATTGCAGTTTCTTCGAGTTTCTTTTTTGAGGAAACTGCAATAAATATCCTTTTAAAAACATTTTATATTATTATTCATATAATGCACAGCATGTAATTCACAACATAATTTGTTAATTACTAATTTTAATTATTTAAGCCTACGTTTTTGTGGCAATATCTATTTAAAGGGATACTCCACTTTTTTTTGGAAATAGGCTCAAACAGTTGAGTTTTACCCTTTTCGAATCAATTCAGCCGATTTTCTGATATTTAGAAGAATATCAGTAACCAGACAGTTGCTGGTCTCATTGACTTCCATAGTATATTTTTTTCCTACTATGGAAGTCAATGAGACCAGAAACGGTCTGGGTACAGATATTTTTCTAAATATCAGAAAATCGGCTGAATTGATTTGAAAACGGTAAAACTCAACTGTTTAACTCTGGGGGAGTTGTAAAATGAGCCTATTTCTAAAAAAAAAAAGTGGAGTATCCCTTTAAGAAACCTAGATCCAAAAATCCAGTCGAGTGGTCAATTGTCACGTTTATTTATCTTTACAGACCAGTTACATGACTTCATTCTGCTAATGTTTCATGAAAGAGACCCATCGTGTGGGCAGCATTTTAAACTCCACAAGTTCTGACGTACACATCACTAGATTATTGGGCCATGGTTACTGCAGTATTTGTTGTGTTTTATGAAGACTATCTATCTTTTAGATTGCCATTCACCCCTAGTCACTTTGTAAACACTTTGAGCCTTGGGGATTTGTAAGAAAAGATTAAAAGAATCAGAGAGAGGGATGGATTTCATCTAAAAGTTACTAGTCTGAACGCAGAAGGCAGCAGCACTATATCTGGCCAGTGCTCCTGCACAGGCCACAATCCAGCTAATTGTTCCACGGCCTGTCCCAAGCGAACTCAGAACACACTGCCATCTGTGAGTGACAAAGAGGAAACACTGATCTGACAACAAATTTGCATTCTGGTCCTCTGGGGCCGTCAGAGAAGAGCTCTGTGGTTGGCACTGCGTTTCTGGTGTAGTCATTAAACAATGGCAACTCTGACCAACATCTGAATAGGATTCCCGTGGCAGAAAAAATGTAATTTAGTTCCTTACAATACTCTACAATAGCTGTGGGGGAGTGTCATATTTTAGAGAATGAACTGGGGTCTCATTACACTCTATTAATTTTGCTGTAAATCAGCTGCTGTTGTGCGGAGTCTATGATGTGCCAAACCGCTCCAGTTGCTCAACCAAGAGTTCGGACCTGAGAGCAGCGCTATGTATTTTTCCTGAAGTAATTGGTCTTAGACCACCAAAAATCATCACTTCTGTTTTATTAGCATTAAAACTTAAAAAAATGTATCATCAACATCATCGAGACACTCTATTAACGAACTGACAGTGTCATTATTTTTAATTGGCTTGTACATCTGGTTATCCTCAGCGTAACAGTGAACAGATATGCCATGTTTCCTAATTACTAGTAGCAAATACAGTAGCAAATACAGTGAAAGGAGAAGGGGACCCAAAATTGAGCCCTGGGGGACCCCACAAGAGAGAGAGGTGCAGAAGAGGATTCATAACTTCACAGATGATGCAGATAGTCCGACCTTAGGTTGTGTGTCCACCAAAGCGTTTTTAGCCAGCCGAAAACACTAGACGCTCTGCTGAAGACGCCATGCTTTGGGCGCTTGAGAGCGTTTTGGCAGCGCAGCGTTTTTTTCTGTTGAGACGTTTCGTTGCTATGATACAGAATATATGCAGCAGTTTGAATGTTGTGACAGTTGGTCGGTGTGGTTTAGTCCCGCCCCTCCTCCCCTGTGATTGGACGGCTGGGTAAAATGTGACAGTAATGAGCTCTGCGTTTTATCCAAAGTTTAACATTGTTCAACTCCCAGCGACCAGTAAAAACGCTGGGCGCTTCAGCGTGAGAAAAACACTCAGCGCCTCGGTACGCTCATGGCTAGAATCTACACTTTATTTAAAACATTGAAAACAATTGAAAACATACGCCAGGGGCGTGGAAAAACGCTTTGGTGGCCACGTGGCCTTATAGAAGCTTTGAGAAGCAGTTTAATTAAAATGAAAACAAAATGATAAAATAAAATATTTTAAACAAGAGTTGTAGGTAGGTAAATGAAACATTTTTAGAGAATCGTTTTAAATGTGTGCTGAATTAGATTTTAATTTTGATATCCATTTGACAGTTGTAGGTAGATTGGTAGACAGGAGCCTTGGTAGACAGTTCTGATTCTGATTATAGAGAGCCTAAGTACCCCCACCCCCACCCCCACCCCACCCCCCTTTCCGGTCGACCACCATGGGACCTTATTTCGGAAAAATATTGAATGGTAGTCAATGGCGAGAGACAACAAATATTTTGATCTCGTTTGAATTGTGCCCTGAATTACACATATGATGTTTGTCAATTTAAAAGATACATTTTAAAGTAAAGAAAGTCGCAGTTTGATGTAAAACCGTTGAGGTATAAGACTGTGAAAATACGTAATTACAAAGACCACAAACCCCAAAGGCGCACATTTTCTCCCAATGAATGAAGCTAACTTTACTGAGGCTGTCTGTCATTGTTTCTACAGTCTTAACGTATAATCGTAATGTTAATGTCTATAATGTCTTTTTCTAACAACACAATGCCCCACTTTTTCATTCTTTTCCTCTTCTCCTTCCTTTCTTCTACTCCCCTTTCAGAGCCATTACTCTCTCCAGGTCTGGATATTAAGAAAGGCTATACTCCTTCTCATTGCCCCAGTCTACGGTTGGACATTGTTAGATGTGGGTCATAGACTTAGCCGAGGCTGTATTGTTTTTTCTGGTAGCATTGCTCTAAGGGATCTAGACTCTCCTGGAGCATGGCTCGGACAGGTTTGAGATTCCAATTGAGCAAAGAAGCTTCAGGGCCTTGCCTATCATCGCTATATTAGTTACTGGGAGCAATGTTGTGCACAGTGTGTCCCATCACACACTAACTTATTATTGGCGAAGGCCTTGGAGCTTTAGTGCTAAGGGTTTTTAGATTGATCTAACCACAAGCAGGCACTGGTCAGCATGGTGTAGTTAGTATTGATGTTCCAATAGATTTTTTTGATTTTTTTGCACCGGGAACAATGCAAGTCGACACCATTGTGACTAAAAGTTTGCTAAGAAGCATTTCCTACAAGGCATTATTCGACTCTGGTTAAGCATATCCATAGCAGACTGGTGGAAGGGGCTTTGGATGGGAACATGAACAATGCATTATGGGTGTTAAGACAACAATCTTTTTTTTCTCTTTTTCTCTCTCTCTATTTCTAGTTAGGTAGCACAGATTATATATATTTTTTTCCTGCCTTTCTGATGCATAGGCAGTCAAGTTTTATAGAATGCCCATTTAAGTACCCCTTTAGAGTGGTAGGTAGATGGGTAGATGGAAGACTTGGAAATTAGTTACAGTAAGTTGGTTTAGGGCATCACATTAGCACCCATTCTGACCATGACATTTTCCAGTGTGAGAAACTTGAAACTGTGAGTGCTCGTACACTCGATTTCCGATGTTTTAAGATCTTGAAGGTTTCTTTGATCCCCACTTTGTTATTGACAAGGCACCATCTTCCCCTGTTTTGGAACCGCCTCTCAAAATCTCCCTCTGAAACTCGGGCTGATGGAAACGAACAAAGGAAAGGGTATTGATGGCTCTGCTAGGCAGCTTTTCTGCCGTATCTCCCACAATCTGAGCTGCCATCTGCTTAGATAAAATTTAAAGAGGACTGTTTGTTCTATCCTCTCAGACCAGTGCAGAGAAAGATTTCTCTAATTAAAATGCCATTATTTTTTCATGGATCTTACTCAGCTAGCATATTCGCCAAGTTCTCGCCAGTGTGTGAATGCAGTGTCTGTGGTTCAGTTGGCCATGGTTCAAGAAGACATGGAGGATGAGTCGCAGACAAAACAAAACCTGCTGTATGTGTTGTCGCTGAGACAATGTGCTTGGACTGAAATTCTTTTGACTGATTGGCATGAGAAAATAAGAATTAAAGGAATATTTAAAACACAATTGTTTAAGCATAAACAGACACATAGCAATAATATATTACTGTCTGAATATTTCTATTTGTTTGAATGTTTTAGTGATGATCGAGAGTTCGCCAATGGATCTGTGTGTGTGGAGTGTGACAACCAGTGTGAAAAGGCTGAAGATAAAACTCTTAGCTGTCATGGCCCTGTAAGTAAACCAACCAGTGTTTAACTTTCTTAATATATTCCAAAGAAAAACAAAATGTTTTCTTCATAATATATTTCATAAACATGTATTGACTTCACAAGAGTAGTTCACTTGTAAAAAAAACTTTTGCTGATTACTCACCCCCATGTCATCCAAGATGTCCATGTCATTCTTTCTTCAGTCGAAAAGAAATTAAGGTTTTTGATGAAAACATTCCAGGATTTTTCTCCATATAATGGACTTTAATGGGAACCAAATGGTTCAAGGTCCAAAAGACAGTTTCAGTGCAAACTGCAGACTGTTCAAAGGGCTTTAAACGATTTCAGGCGATGAATAAGGGTTTTATCAAGCGAAACGATCGCTCATTTAAAAAAAAAATATAACAAAGTTTAAGTTTTATACGCTTAAATGGTCGCCTTGCTCTGTTCTGTGATGCGCGTTCGTGACTCCTGTTCGAACTCGTTCATCAAAATGAACAAATCTTTTTTGTGTCATCTGGTTCATTCAACGAACGAAATGAATGAGTTGACTCGGGAAAAGATTTGTTCATTTTGATGAACAGGAGAGTCACGAACGCTCATCACAGAACAGAGCAAGGCGACCATTTGAGCTTGTAAAACTTAAACTGTTATTTTTATTTTTTGAAATGAGCGATCATTTCGCTTGATAAGACCCTTATTCGTCATCTGAAATCGTTTAAAGCCCTTTGAACAATTTGCACTGAAACTGTCTTTTGGACCTTGAACCGTTTGGTTCCCATTTAAGTCCATTAAATGGAGAAAAATCCTGGAATGTTTTCATCAAAAACCTTAATTTCTTTTCGACTGAAGAAAGAATGACATGGACATCCTGGATGACATGCGGGTGAGTAAATTATTAGCATTTTTTTTTTTTAAAGTGAACTACTCCTTTAAAAATCTACCATTTTACAGAAATAAAAATGGGTTACAAAAGCCATTTAATGTTGACAATTATTAAAATGCCTTTTAATTTGACTTCACTACTTAAGCCCCACCCACCACGGGCATCACTGTGATATTTTGGATATTTGTCTGCAAATTAACTTAGCAGTACTCAAACTTTTCTGTAAACATTGGTTTTAGACTTTAAACGCAGATGAACAAAGCTGTCAGCTTCTTAAGATAACCTGTCTGTCCATCTTTACATAATTAGCAAACATCAGAGCTGTCAGAGCATGTAAGAACTCACCCAACTGTGACATCCACTTCAAAATGGGCAGTTATTTATATCAAAATGTATGATTTTATGTTGTCAACACCACTATGTGACTTAAGTAAAACTTTAATGTTGCTCAAACTCACAAGAAAGTACCAATATTTGATATGTGCATAAAACAGTACAGTGTTTCTTTTGGGTTAAGCATCAATATAACATTATTGTAAGTGGTTTATTTTCCTTTATTAATCCCTCTTGGTTTCCAAGACAAATATTTTATTGGTGATTCTCCTGCTTTTGGTCTGCATGGTTTAGGGTGCAGATCACTGCGTGAAATGCTTGCATCTGAAAGACGGTCCCAACTGTGTGGAGAAATGCCCTGATGGTCTGCAGGGAGCAAACAGCTTCATCTTCAAATATGCTGAGACCAACAACGAGTGCCATCCCTGCCACCCCAACTGCACCCAGGGGTAAGCATCTGCCTGTTTGTGTGTTTGCTTTTTCCTCCAGGCCAGCACTACTCAACACAAAACGCTTTTTTTTTTGTTTGAGGGCCTGTGATTTTATCATCATGGCAACTGCAATAATTACAGTACAAACATCTTTCCATGTCTTATTGCCTTAATAATAAGAAGCAAGTTATAAATACCATGTGATAAATACCATGTGAAGGTAGAGATTTGAATTTTACTGCAACTGTGGCTTATCCAATAATTTTTTCATCGTACTGAGAATGCTGTTATTTGATCAAAACTACAGTAATATTGTAAGATATTATTTACAAATTAAAGTAACTGTTTTCTATTTTGATTTTAAAATAAAATGTATTTCTGTGATCCAAAGATGAATTTTCAGCATCATTACTCCAGTCTTCAGTGTCACATGATCCTTCAGAAATCATTCTAATATGATGATTTGCTGCTCATTTTCTATTATTTGAAAACGGTTTACTGCTTATTTTTGTATAAACAATGATACAGTCTTTCAGGATTCTTTGATGATGAATATATAATGTTTTTGTAACAATGTAAATGTCTTTACAGTTACTTTTAATCAATGTAATGTATAAGCTTTTTAACCCTAAAGCTGCATTCTGGACAAATGTGGCAAATAGTTTTGATTTATTTTTAAAAAATACTTCACTTGATCTGAGCGGTACAAGACTTGGCTACTTTTTCTAAATTTGCCTCCTGAACACACACAATTTTTATTTTTTTTTTGACTCAATTCTACAATGTTAAGTTGGTGGGAAAAAACCCTCCTTAATCTTGTATTTGGGTCAAAAATGGGTACCCATAGAAATGAATGGGAAAAACGAATGTAATGTAGAGCATTCTAAAATAAGCCAAAATAAGACACCAGGTGACCGCAAAGTCACTTCAACTTTAGGTTTTAGCTCTAAGGACTTATTGGAATGATATTTTAATGTAGTTAAAAAAAAATTTAAAAAACATAAAAATAAGCATAGAAAATATGGTACTTTTTGAAGTAAATAAATTCAAAAATACCCCCAAAACAAATTAAAAACACCATAAATGGATAGCCAAAACATTATCGAAGACAGTGATATAACATTTATAATAAATAAAAATTAGGATCACACTTGAGTCCTCTGTGCCCACATTTGTCCACAATTACAGGATTAAGGGATATAAAGTGAATACGGTTTGAGGGCTACAAGAGAACAAAGTCAAATGTGCCATTTACCCCTGTGTGCCTTTAGCCCCATTGTACCCTAATATTATTATTATTATTATTTAGGATTCTTTGATGAATAGTATATTTGAAATAGATAACCTTTGTAACATTATATAAAAAAAACGAATACTATATTTGATGGAAATGCATACCTACTCGTTTTTAAAAGAATAGCTTTAAAACTGATTTGAGACTAAAGTATCCTCTTTTCAGAAGTTCACTAGCCCTTCTCGAGGCAATTATTTTGCTCAGTTTCATCTTGGAAATCACATTCATTCAAAACAGCCTAATCTACATGTAACTATCTAAACTTCAACTGTCCAGTGGGTTGATGAATTTGGGTTGCAGTTCCACAGACCTTCGGTGTCACGTCCCGTAGATCTGGGGCAGATCATACTGCGCATGGACACACAAGAGACATCCACCCCAGTCTGAGTCTTTGGTTTGTTCTGGTCTGTCTTGGCTCTCAAATCAAAGCTCTTGCAATGCTCTAGGACACCATAGCAAAGCGCTTGCGATCCCTTCATCTTGTGGGTGACAGTCATTGCCGCTGGTTACTGTCAGGCATGGGCTCTTCAGCACGGCTCTCTGTGATTACTAAACCCAGTCACCACTGTCACAGTGCTCCAACATGCCTTATTTCGGTGTGTAAAGCTCCTGAGATGATCATCAAAGAGGCTAATGCTAGATAGATGACTAGGTAGATCACATGGTGCACATTTACTGTTCAAAGCTTGGGCTCAGTAAGATTTCTTTCATGATTTTGAAAAGCATGCTCACCTGTGTTTATTTGATAAAAAATGACAGTAAAAACAGTAAAATTATGAAATTTAAAGTAAAACATAAAATATAATTTATTCTTGTGATGTCGAAGCTGAATTTTCAGCATCATTACTCCAGTCTTCAGTGTCACATGATTATTTGAAAACGGTTTACTGCTTATTTTTGTCTGAACTGATCCAGTTTTTCAGGATTTTTTGATGAATAGATGGTTCAAAAGAACAGTTTTTCTTTGAAATAATGTTTTTGTAACAATATAAATGTCTTTACAGTCACTTTTGATCAATGTAATCGCTCTAATTTTCTGTATCACAGGTGTACTGGACCCCGGATTCAAGATTGTATTGGGATGCTGGACAGGTAAACACCCAAATGTGTTCCTCATACATTTTGTTTGTTTTTTTCCCCAAACTAATCAAGGCACTGGTTTTATATATTAAGAATCAATTAATTACAATTCAAAACATTACAAATCTTTACTTTATCAGGGCATAGAACGAATCCAAAAAGAAAACTGAATTTAAACTGAGCGATATCTTTTCCTCCAGGACGCCTCTGATTGCAGCTGGGGTGATTGGGGGGATGTTTGTGGTCGTAATCGTGGCGCTCGGATTTGCTATCTTTTTCCGTCGGAAGAGCATCAAGAAGAAAAGAGCTTTACGGCGTTTCTTAGAAACAGAGGTGAGAGCTAAAAATATGCCAACATTTAAAAGGAGTTTCAATCATTTGGATGCGGTGCACTAATTTTAGAAACATTTGATATCAGGAGACGCAAAGTCCGAACAAACAAAATCCGCATAGAAAGCCTGCAGGGAAATTGGTGTTGTGGTGCATGGACAGGTCTGTGGGCTCTATAGACACTCTCAACTTTCCATTTGAAAGTGCCTCTCTCACTTCAATGGTGGGAAACCTCAAATGGAATAATGGAGATCATTTTCAGATCTTTAAATGGCAAAGTACTTCAAAATGTTCTGCAACCAGTATGTGTGTGAATGTGCATTTGAAATAAAGTCAATAGTATGGAATCTGCAGTTTTGTTAGGGAGTGTATAGCCCCAAATTGATTTACTGTTTCAGTATCTACTTCTTGCAGAAAAATCTAGTGTTTCAGGATCATTTGTTGTTGTTTATATTGAAAGACATAAAACATACAATATACTCAAAATTATTTAGAAATAGGGTATGTCTTTAGCAACCATTATGACATAGGATGTTTTATTTTAATGGTGGTTCTGTCACCCATATTAAAGAGTGGAAACCTTTGGAAAACGTATAGCAATCTGAATTGGGAGGACCGGAGCATACATGCAGGAATATATGGATGCAATAGCTCACATACTGTAGATAATGAGGTTCAACACTATGAAGATCCTTGAAGGTTAAAATAAGTATTTTGAACTGAATACATGATGAGATTGGCAACCGCTGCAGAGTGATATGAATAGCAAGTTGTAAATATGAGAAGTACAGCAGCAAAATTGTGCATGTTTTTTTAAAAGGTATTGCAATTTGTCAAAGGTAAATGAAAACAGATTAAGACGCCATGGATTAGTCTTCCGGGTTTTGACGTCATCCCTGCAGCACTCTTTAACGTCACTGAGAATCTCTGTATAAACACAGGCATGACACGAGAAGTAAAGAAGGGGAGATAAAAACGCAATTTAAACTGAAAAAAGCAGAGCAAATTGGCAAAACCAAATGAAAACATATGATGACAATAATGAAATCATATCGCTTGGGCTGTCAAATGATTAATCGCGATTAATCACATCCAAAATAAAAGTTTGTGTTTACATAGCTAATATATGTGGGTGCACTGTGTATAGTTATTTTTATATATAAATAAATACACACATGCATGTATATTTAAGAAAAAAATATTATTTTATAAATAAAATATTTATATTTATATATACTACAGTATATACATGGAAATATTTCTTAAATATATACAAGCATGTGTATAAAATAATTATACACAGTGCACCCACATATATTATGTTAACGAAACTTTTATTTTGGATGCGATTAATCGCGATTAATCGTTTGACAGCCCTACATACCGCCTATAATGGTGCCAACTAGTTACTGGCAGATGAAGTTCAAGTAGGTATTGTAGTTATGTATAAATTTTGATTGTTTTTGAGCAGTTGGTGGAGCCTTTAACGCCGAGCGGTACGGCGCCAAACCAGGCACAGTTACGCATACTGAAGGAGACGGAGCTTAAGAGGGTCAAGATCTTGGGAACAGGAGCCTTTGGCACTGTTTACAAGGTACTACATTCACTTTTATAATTCATGTGTGTATGAATTTTGCGTGTTTACTGAACTTTTTTTTTTTTGATAAGGGAATCTGGGTTCCAGAAGGAGAAACGGTGAAGATTCCAGTGGCCATAAAGATACTCAATGAAAGTACAGGACCTAAAGCCAATGTGGAATTTATGGATGTGAGTAGAATTAAACTTCACTTTACTGTTTACCATCATTTGCAAATTGCAGTGCAAGAACAAACAAGTGAATGAATATAGCCAACAGTGCAAAATGCATATCAAATAATTAGCAGTATACATTTTTATACATTTAACGTTAAATAAATATAACTAAACAACTTAAGCTCTTGATTGTGAAGCCATATGATTTGAGGGGAGGTGTTCACATGGATAACAAGTTTTTAAACTAGGCTCATTTTGCATTTCATTTATGTAACTGAATTATTGCATTAATATGCACTACTGTTCAAAATGTGGTGTTTGCAAGATTTTGAATGAAGTATCTTATGCTCACCAGGGCTGTATTAATTTGATCAAAAATTACAATATTATATTACAATTTTAATATATTTGTCAAATGTAATTTATTCCTGTGATGCAAAGCTGATTTTCAGCATCATTACTCCAGTCTTCAGTGTCACATGATCCTTCAGAAATCATTCTAATATGCTGATTTGGTGCTCAAGAAACATTTCTGATTATTATCAATGTTGAAAAGTTGTGTTCCTTGATATGTTTGTGATTATCAGGATTGTTTGATGAATAGCAAGTTTAAAAGAACTGCATTTATTGGAAATGTAAATCTGTATAACATTATAAATGTCTTCACTGTAAATTTGATCAGTTTAATGAATCCTGAATGTAGGAATGAAGTTAATTAATTAATTAATTAATCTCTGAGTATGTTTTGTGATCTGACTCTGTGTGCTCAGTAACGTTTCTCAGTGTTGCTTCTATGAGATGCGATAGAGAAAGAAAACAACTGAACCTGCAGATTATAAATTCCTCTTGCAGTCGTTCTAGGTCTCCCTTATGGTTTTGGAGCAGTTTTGATGTTGATTCAATTATGATATCCTGATATGTATCGTATCTTGAGGTAGTTGGCGATACCCAACTCTAGTTTGGAGTCCTAGAATGTATAATGACCAAAAATGATCCATAGTGTTGATGAAAACAGCAGATTTCCAGTGTTTCTCTTTTTGTCCTCCAGGAGGCGCTGATCATGGCCAGCATGGAGCATCCTCATTTAGTGCGTCTGTTGGGGGTCTGCTTGAGTCCCACTATTCAGCTGGTAACTCAGCTCATGCCCCACGGCTGCCTGCTGGACTACGTCCACGAGCACCAGGAGAACATCGGCTCCCAGCTGCTGCTCAACTGGTGCGTGCAGATCGCAAAGGTAAGACTGTGTGTTTGCCTTTGTTGTACAGTGAAACACATTGTCTCAAATAATGAATCTCTACATACCCTTCCCAGAGTTCATAGTAAATGCACTGTACTTGAAGGTTTTCTTACCCTGAACGCACATATCTGCAGGCTGCTGAACCACTAAACACTCAGTTGCTTTGGCTCAGTCGGGTACCACATCAAACGCAAGGGCGTTCTTAGAAGTGCTTCGAAGGAAGAAGCTCCGGTGTCTCATGCGTCAAATGAGTGCAACTGCCCCCCCTACCATGTTTAAAGAGAAAATCTTTTTCCTTCAGCTCTGTGATTGAAACGTTATGTAATGGACTGGTGTATGAAGAAGTTCAAGGAAAATATCCTCAGCTACCCATTTCCTACTCAGCATTGCATGAAATATTTATTTAGCTGTGGTGCTCAAACAGTCCAGTTTGTGTCATTTGCCAATCCAGTTTCTCACTTCAGTACTGGTAATCCCTGTCTATCTACACGCTAAAAATGAATATGCTTTATTTAATCAAAAAAAAAAATTGTGGCAACAGATTACAAGCAGTATTATTAATAAATTTAACAAATTAGAATTGAGTAATAATTTATTAAATTAATTCCTTAAAAGTTAACCATTTAAAATGAGTAAAACTTACAACAACAACCCCAAAAAAACATAAATTGAGTCATCATTATGGTGATCGGTGTTTGTTTTAGGTTTGTTTTAAAATTACGGTTTTCTCCTTATCAAATTAATTCCTTGAACGTTAACCATTTAAAATGAGTAAAACTTACGAAAACAACCCCCCCAAAAAAAAAACATAAATTGAGTCACCGTTATGGTGATCGGTGTTTGTTTTAGGTTTGTTTTAAAATTACGTTTTTTACGGCTATTTAGGTAATCCCTGTCTATCTACACGGTAAAAATGAATATGCTTTATCTAATCAAAAAAAAATTGTGGCAACAGATTACAAGCAATATTATTAATTAAATTTAACAAATTAGAATTGAGTAATAATTTATCAAATTAATTCCTTAAAAGTTAACCATTTAAAATGAGTAAAACTTACAAAAACAACCCCCAAAAAAAAAACATAAATTGATGTCACCAATATGGTGATCAGTGTTTGTTTTAGGCTTGTTTAAAATAACGTTTTTCTCCTTCAGTGATTCTGCTTGTTAACATCAGGTGTCTTCAATGTTGGCAATATAAAATAAGAGTTCTCAATTAATCTTTTTTTAAGATATTGCATAAAAATGCTGGATGTAAAAGCCAAGACGAGAATAAAATGTCCAAAATGTGCAAACAAAACATGAGACTGAAATGCTGCTTTAGACATTGAAGAAATTGTTTGAGGCGAAGCATTGTTAAAGCTTTAAAAGAGAATTAACTATTCAAGCTGAGCAAATTAGGTCATATAATCATCAAATATATATAGGCTAGCATTATATTTCCCTGTGTGTTGGGCAGAAAAGGAATCCACTGACCTCAATCGAGAGCCATAATCACGGTTCAGTCTGAGATTGTTGACCAGCATGTCATCTCTCGGAGAAGCTAGAGAGTTTAAGGTTGGATCTGTGTTTGATTTCTCACCTGCTGTGGTCCTCAGGATATTAATCCTCTCAATCGTCCATTAGATAACCCTGCTGTGTTCACCCAGTGACCTGTGATTGCTGCCCAGTCCTTTTAGATATTGGCGTCGTGCTCTCCTATCATACAGAACCTGTGTGTAGTGCAAGGGCATGGGCTCCTCCTCCTGCTGTGTTCTTGGAGAAGCTTGAGACTTATTTTATTGTGAGTGAATTTCCGGACCTGTTGCTTTCTCACGCCTAGACCTGAGGAACATGACAGCTGAAGTGAAGAGAAAGTTAGATGCCAGGGAGAGAGGAGACCGATTTTGACGCCTTCAGCGTTTCAAGATGTTTGAGTTGGACTGCAGCATTTTCAATGTAGGATTTTTCAACTACTTCAGACCGATTCCTCTCTCTCTCTTCTGGTTCGCGTACAGGATTAATGTCATCTTTCATACCATTGCTCATTTACTTTGCACCTTTTGTCTGAGAATACAAGATCTGAATTAGTCAGATAGTGCCATGACAAATGAGAGTGCCTTGAATATGCAGTAGGTGCCTATGAAAACATAATTTAACCAAATCATATTTGTGGTGTCCAATATGAAAATCCATTTCTGCCTCAAAGTTAAAAAAGGAAGGGAAATATGACTTTATATCTCACAAAGTTACTTTATCTCTTAAATACATTTATTTCTTTAGTAGTAACACTCTCAAACTACATTAATCTGTGTCCGTTTTTATGTTATATATTTGTTGGAGATTACATGTAATTCTCAGAATGCAGTATTCTGTATCTAAAAATAAAATATCTTTTTTTTTCCTTTTACATGCATATTTTTTACCTTCCTCATTTAATAATACAGGCATCAGGCATTTAAATGTGGAAAAGTTCAAAATGACATATTTTTGTAGACAATGGCTTATTGAAAAATCATAATTATGAATTTGATTTGGCATTGCAGTATGAATGAAAGAGGGTTATAATATTCTTTCTAAAACCGTGGATAAAGTATGTGGCTGTGGTAGAGCTCATTTGCATATTTCCAAGCTAACTTGGCATCAAAAGTGATACCCTCCATCAGATGATGGGTGTCATTTGAATAATTCCCAGCATCCAGCATTTATCTGCCAGGGAAAAAAAAACAATGCCAACAAATATATTTGAAAAGAGCTAGTTATCATCATTGCATCCATTTAGACTATTATCTTATCACGTTCAAATCTTATACCTTGTACCGTGTTTTTCATAGCAACATACACATGTTTTCTCTCATGCAGTAATTGATATCTATTGTATATTACTGACATTGCAAAGTTTCCTCTTCCATTGCATAAGAAACTTAATGGACTCTTCTGTTTCTATCATCTATGATGTTACTTGTAGAATTCCTGAGGAGAAATAAAAAATGCAATCAATTTCCGATACAGTGATAATATAGCTCACATCATTCGTTTTATTATGGCAGACTCAATGCATATGTTGTTTTCTATCTAAGCAAATGCAACTCAATTGTGGTGCAGCAAGTACCCATACCTTTGGCTTTTCTATCTTCATTTCAATTTGAAAGTATTGTTTGTTAATAAGCATTTTTGTTTATTTCTTTTTTTAAATTCACCTTTAAATGCATTCGGCATTTTCCATCACCAAACAATCCCTAATCCAAGCTGAATAAATGCTTTCATTCAGCCCGATTATCACTCTGGAAAATGCAGAGAGTCTCTGAAACCCTCCAATTACAGCGAGGGATCCGCTGCACTAATAGATGTATGGAGTTTGGATTTGGGGGATTGAAACTCTGATTGGATCATTCATTTCAAGATAGTTGACTATGAAAAGAGCTGAGGTGTCCTTATCACAGTCAGATTAGAGTGAACTAGGCTAATTCAAGACGCCTGCAGCTGATGGGACTCTGTGCTCGTGAATGATTTAGTAATGTTTGCTTTTGAAGATGTGGGCAAAAGAAGAAATCATGATCCGGTACTGAAAGAGGATGTTTTTTCATTCAGTCATCTGATTTCAGTCTCATAGGATTGCCTGGCCTTTAAACAAATGTGTTTTAGCCAGCTATAAATAGTTTCGTATAAACATCTGTTTGTCTTTCAGAACACATTGGCTTTGAGATTTTGTCCATGTCCACACTTTGCACCAATGTAGTGTTTAGCAAGGCAGGTCATTTATCATTAAATTTGTGATAATATGTTAAACTTCATTTGTCTTTCATGTTGTAATTTAACCACTTAACTGTCACCGTCCCACAGGGACGTTTTGCCACTATATTTTTAAAACAATAATATCTTAGTAAATAATATTAATAAACTATATATCATTTGAAAGCTTACAATCTCTAGTTTCCATATTTGGTGACTGATTTTCAAAATATATTACAGAGGAGCCATACTTTATCAATATACAACAAGAATATTTTCATACTCATAAGGCGTGTTCAGACCTTTATTTTAAAATAGCAGTAAACATGAAAAATCATGAAAAATTGGTAGATACCTCAGTTTGTTTTGATGCCAAAAGTTCAAAAGACAGAATCCATTCAATTATTTTGGAAAAAAAAAAGGTCTGAAAAGTTTGAAATATCAAGAAAAAAATAATGAATTCACCATTTGTGACGTGGCAGCTAGCTATGACTTACATGCGTGTTCTTTGTATGTTTCTTAGAGGTTCAATTCATTTCAAAATCTGCCAAACTTCCCATACTACTTCTGAATAGGATCTCTACTTCAGAAATTGTATGAAAATTGTGAAAATAATGGTTCATATCACTCAAAACACGAATGGAAATGCAGGCGCCCTTATATGGGCAGTAATGGAGTCTGGTTGTGCCCTAGTGAAAAAGTTTGGTACTGCGCTCAAACAAAATCTTACTGAAAGCTCATTTTTTGAGATATCAACCTAAAATTTGAAACACAACTTATTCAGATTTTTGGCTTTGATCTTTTTGCAATTTTAGAGTAGCCCAGGTTTTGAAAATATATATTTTATGTAAACTATGAATAATTAATATTTTTACATTGTATATTTCCATAAACTCAAACTTCACTTTCTTAATTTATTTCACTTCTACAAAAATCTGCCAAATGTCTTCTTTAAAACAAGACCAATCATATGTCTATATTCCAAAGCATTCTTGAATTACAACCATTTAAGTTCAAAATGTGCATTTTCATGTCTATTCAAAAAAAAAAGGGGGGGGTGACAGTTAAGAGGTGGTCCCGTTCTTCATGATCCCATGTTTCAAACTTTAGTTAGTGTGTATTATTGTTGTTAGAGTATAAATAATATCTCTAAAATTATAAAGCTCAAAGTTCAATGCCAAGCGAGTTTATTTAACAGAAGTAGCCTACATCGAACAGCCAGTTTGGACTACATCCCTCTACTTCCTTCTTTAATGACGTCACGTCAGTAGAACTATTTTTTGACT